CAGAAACTCCTTCCCCAGCTCCAGCATTTCCCCTCCCCATCCTCTTCAGGTTCTGCCACGGACCAGTCCCAACCTTTCCCCTTTGAATCGCTCAGACGATGCCCGTTCAAGCGACAAAACCACGCTGAGCTGTCACCGTTCGCTCCTGCTGTAAAGCCAGACCAACATTGCCATCCCCCGGCCCGGCCCCGCAGTGCAGGCGCCAGGCCCTGGCTCTCCTCTGCTCTTCCCAGCCAAGCAGCTTCGTTTAGGGCTTTGGAGGCGATGGAAAACCCTCCTGCTTCCCACACAGCTCCTGCTCCCATCGGCTGGGAGGTGATAGCAGCACGGCCATGGTGCATGAAAGGCGCTGGAGCTTTGTGTCACAGGGAGGATGGTGATGTGTTTTTAATGTGCTATCCCCACAGCAGTGTCAAACAGCACTGGAAGAGTCTAGAATGTGTATATAAAAACCAAGTGTGAAGATGCAGCATAGCTAAGAACTGAACAGCTCATGCAGTGGCAATTCACAGAATCCCAGACTGGTTTGTGTTGGAAGGGACCTTAAAGCTCATCCAGCTCCAACCCCTGCCACAGGCAGGGGCACCTTCCACTGGAGCAGCTTGCTCCAAGCCCCTGTGTCCAACCTGGCCTTGAGCACTGCCAGGGATGGGGCAGCCACAGCTTCTCTGGGCACCCTGTGCCAGCGCCTCAGCACCCTCACAGGGAAGAGCTTCTGCCTAAGAGCTCAGCTCAGTCTCCCCTCAGGCAGGTTCAAGCCATTCCCCTTGGCCTGTCCCTGTAGCCCCTCTCCAGCTTTCTTGTCAGCCTCTGTAGACACTGGAAGCTGCTGTACTGCATTACCCAAGCAGCAGTCAGGCCAATTTACATTGAACATTACCTCCTCCAATATGTGAAGAAATAAAGCTTTAAGAGCCAGCTTTGGGTCTGGTTCTTTTGAAAGCACGTTTTGTAGGCCAACCCGACAGTAACTCCTCATTTTAATGCACACAACAGAGCACTAGAACTAGATTGAACAGCCAGGAAGTATTTCAGTATATCCATTTTCCTTCTGTTCTCTTTAAATAGAACTTTCTCAGTTCTTTTCATTACCATCCCTATATTAGTGTTACCCACTGCACCAGTTATGAAGCTGAGCCTCGTAAGCAGCACATAAAAAGAATCTTGATTAGTAAACTATGGTAGACACAGGAAGAGGAATTACAGTTAATTTTTCAGTGGAGATCTTGCTTTGTGCTGGCAGTACTTTACACAACAGAAATCTGCAATGAAAACCTATGTTCACCACCAGAGCTGAGCCGAGGAGACTGATTCCACTGCAGCCATTGGTTGCTTCATAAAAACGGATGGAGGCGTTTGAAGTCGCTGGCTCCAGAGCTGGGAATATGGGCAGGGCGTGTGTCAGGCTTGGAACAGCTGGCTTGGAAGCTCACACAGAATCAGCTACAACAGTGCAGCCGGGCCAGGACACCACCCAGCCAGCAGCCGTGTGCTTTTCCTTTGTGGTTGCAGAGCTGTTCCAAAAGCTAAGCCTTCACTCCAGAAGGAGGGAAGAAAGAACAAGTCATCAGCCCATCCAAGTCTAGACCAGCTTTCTATCTAGTTTCAGTGTTCTGTGATAGCATGGACAGTAACATGCTGTGCCCTGCTCTTGGCTAACCCAATCCATCAAAAGGTGTCCCTGTCTTAGCCTGTGCAAGAGTAAAAGTCATCCCAATGTGGATCTGATGCAGACATGTGTGCTGGTGTGCAGCCAGGCTTGGGAAAGCACAACTCCCAGAGATGGAACTGTTTTGCTGAGCACAGGACGCATAAAGGATGATGTTAGGATGGTTTAAACGCAGCCATGAACTGTAGCACTGCTGGTATACATAGGGGAAACTCATGCTGGATGCCACCCTCATTCAGAGCAATCTGAATGTTTAATCTCTCCTTAGCCACCTCCTAGGGAGGGGAAAAGACACAAAACCCAAGGGAAAGAAAACCCAATCTAAACACCTGCACTGAGCATCAGCCCAGTCTAAGAAGGAAACCAGACTGGCACAGAGCAGCTGCAGAGCACCCCAATTCCTGGAGTTTTGAGTCAAAATAGCACGGAACTGTTTAAAACAGTAGTACTAACGTTTCACACCTGCATTCAGTCTCTTCAAGGAGAGCAGTGCCTTGCAGAAATGCGGCAATTAGCATTCTCATTCACACTTATCTCTGATTAACACTGGAGCTTTGATTAATCCTGGAGCACCTGGAACAGCTCTGCTGACACACTCCCCATCTGCCCTCACTCCTGACTCTGTCTCCTGTTGTTGATGATTAAAACTTTCCAGCATAAGAAACGTATCTTTTTTTTGCCACGACAAAGTATGCAGGAGCACCTGTAAAAGCTTTCCCTCATTTCACAACAGTCTTGAAAGGCATGAATAAAGCCAAATAAATTTTACTAGACTGACGTGGGGTTTTTGTTCAGTTTTCATTCCAGTGCTCAGTATCTCCTGATGAACAGTTAAGAGAACTCTGCATAAACCAGACCTCATCTGCAACTTAAAGAAGACAAAAAACTTCGTTCCTCCCATATATAAATCATCCAAAAGGCAATGCAAAACACTGAGCTGCATTTCTCCAGCAACTGTTTCAGGACTCTTTTGTGCCTCTGAACACTTGCTTCATTTAGGATTTTTCAATACCCCAACTAGATTATTCTTCAGTGGTTAAGCGAAATTATATGGCAGTTTAATAGCACTGCATTAACTCTAAGTTTGTTAGCTGGCTTCTTCCAGATAAAGATGTTTTCAGAGCATCTGCATCACTAGAGTTAACAGGATTCTTGTGTAACTGCTTTAAGTCTGTTTGGGAGTGGGGGGGGGGGGAATTCTCCTGAATTTCAATATGATCTTTCCTAATTCAAGTTCTTGGGAATTCATAGCAAAGTAGGAACAATGAATTCATTAAAGAGCTCACTTTCACCTCATGCCTTCTGCATGCTTCACTCTCAAGCTAGAAAGCAACAATCAACCACGTCTCCATAGTTATTTGTGGTCAAGGGAAAGCTTTCTATTTGAAGTCAGAGGAAAAACCCTTCCGAGGTTCTTCCTCCCACTCTGTTCAATGGCTTAGAAGTGTCTGATCAAGAAAAACTTAGGGACCTGGGGATTAAAATACAAAATTTAAGGGAGAGAGAAAGCTGAAGTTTTCTGAAATACCTGTCACTTCATTCACACTGGATGTGTCTCAATAAATCTTAGAATTGGGCAAAAATCCATACTCTAAGTCCCAGCCCAAAGCAAGTCTTGAGACACAGAGCATATGCTCAGTTCAGACCTACTTATTTATTTCTTCCAATGTCTTTACTGAATTAAATCAACCCATCCTCACCATTTTACCCACAGAAGGAATTCTGCTTAAGACAACAACCTCCCCCAGTTGTTTTGCTGCAGACATCTCAGTCTGTTGCTTGTTTCCCCAACACAAGGGGAAAATGTTCCCCAGAGGCATGAGAAAGATAACTCTTTACTAATGGAGAACCTTCAGATCTTGAGAACAGCCTTCCCCACCTCTACTCTGCCTTGTTAAAACATTAAAACGTGAAGTTATGTACACCAGAATATGTTACAACAGTGGAAATTTCAGTTTACATACCAAAACACCCGGAAGCCAGGAAATGAAAACTAAGTTCTGTAGGAACATTAACAGCCTTCTCACTTCATCTTCCACACACACCTGAACACGCACCTTCATGGGCCTAAAGCAAAATGTTCTTTGCCTTTCCATTTCATTAGCTGGCAACTTTAAAACTCACTAGTAACATATTACTTACATCTACAGTCAAGAGAAAATCACAGCTCATCTGACATACAGAGCAGTATCTGATATGTATAAACACCATAGTCAAAAGTTGGCACTTACACTGTTGGATGAACACAAATACTCCAAGCCTAAGTATTTAGAAACAAGTGTTGAAGCAGCCCTAAGCTATGCTAATGAAACAGATACATATTTTAATGCCTATATACAAGCTCAATAGCAGTAATCAGACACTGAGACACTTGTCATATGCTGCCAGGAACCATTTCATCCCGTATCAAAGCCAGCCTGGATTTTCCTTGTCTGTTGCATTGCGTGTTTTGCATATCAAGGGGATGGGATGTTTGGGAAGCTCAATTACAACGAGCAGATCTAGCTTTATTTTCTCTCCACAGTGCTGGCTACGCACCAGAAGGATGAAGACCACACACACTCCAGATACTCACTCCTTATAGCCCCTCACCTGCAAGTTTGACACATTTGGTACCCGGAGACCCTCTCCAGCACAAACCACACTCAGCTTTTATGCTGCACAAGCTGGTAAGAGCCCACCTCAGCCTTTAGCTGGGGTGCTCAGGGGAGCCGTGCAGCCAGGCTGCCAGCTCCCACCCTGAGACACCTTCAGAGCAGAAGGTAGTGCAAAGTCAGTTCTTTATGTCCCCACAGTGTAACCCTGGCACTGCACTGCTAAAGCTACAGGCAGCCTTGTGGCCCATACCAACAGTTCCTGGCACAATCTGTGGCTTTCTCAGCTTTGAATACATTGCAGTGTTTGAATATTTGTAGTCTGTGAAGAAACCTGCTCTGTTCAAGGAAGGCCTTTGTTACATGCTTTCTTGATTTAGATTCAAATACAGCTGGACTGCTTAACAACCAGCAATGCAATTGATCCAACTACAGAATCACTTACTGGAGGTAGGAAAGAGAATAAGGAGCCTCACTTTTTAAACTTGAGAAAGCTTGGACTTAAAACTGAAAGTGACTCTTCCAAAATCATGATTTGGAACACAGAACACCCAAATAAAACAAACCTGTTTTAAGACAAAAAGAACAGCTGAAAAAAACCCTTTTGTTTATGGACGTAGTCGAATGAAAATCCTTTCATCTTATCTCTCATCTTCCTTACACACATTTATTGCACTAGAACATGTGCCTTCTACATAAAAAGATGCTGCAGAAACCCACAAGATTGTAAATACTACAGTTATGATTTGTTTGCAATTATATTTAATATTAATAGTTCTGTTCTTACAAAGCAGTTGAAATAAAACAATAATTAAAAAAAAAAAAGGGTAGCAAGAACCCCCCCCATCTGCTGTCTATCATCAGTAATCCTCACTGGTTTGTGTACCATTTATAAGGAAAACATCATTGAAAGCAGCTCGTCACAGAGACTCTTCTGCAGTAAATAACTAGTCTTTGGTGCAAGTCTGTGGCGTTTGTCAGTTCATGTTTTGCCTCAAAGTCCCTCCACCTAAAATCCAAGGTATCTGCCAATGATAACATCCTTCCCCTCTAAAGTACCTTTTAGCCAAACAGAGCAAATCTGGTAACATGTCTGAGGGTGGTAAATATCCTCATTTCACAGAGTGTAGATAATTACATTTGCCTGAGGCCAGATTTTTGGATCTCCAGCCACGGAACCCAGCTTTCAACAGAGGCAGCTCACCCTGGCTGCAGACAATGCTTCCTCTCTACAGGGAAAACTGTTTCTTTCTTCATCCTCTCTAAGAGGATCAGGTATTTTTCTTGTGTGACATCAGTTTCTGCATTACTATTTGGAAATGATGTAAATCTGTTTTGATGTTAACACCTGCACTAAACCCAGCCCCAAAGGAGTCACTGTGACAAGCAAACTATAGGCAGTTAGACAGTGGGTAAGATCAAGCCTGCTAGTGACATGAGACACTAGGGAGGTTAGCCTCATCCACCTGCTGATGGGCCTCGCCGGCCTGGTCTCCAGGAACAAGTTCCACCTCCTTCTCCAGACAGGGGGTTATAGCCTAGAAATAGAGGAAAAATCCATTGGATTAATATTAATCCTCAACAGGCCTACACCAACATACAAGGAACACCAAAAATAAACCTCACAGCTATTTGCACCTTGTTTATACTTACTACATAGGCAGCATTTTAAGGAAAATGAAAGCAGGGACTTGAGATGGTTTATTTTTGTAGTGCTGTCAGTAAAAGCCATTGCAAAACACCTGTGTTTTCATTTGATCAATTTGGATTAAATTAAATTGAAATTAATTACCATTTAATTTCTCTAAGCCTGCACTAAAGCTTTAGAGCTGCTCTGCAGAATAAACAGAGCAGTAGCTCCTACAGTGAACTCTGTAAGAGTGCGTCTGTTCTCCAAGAGCCCTAATAGTTAGGTACTTAAAAGAACCTTTTATTCCAGTCCTGCAAGGAATACTCTGAAGGTCAAAAGGTAAATCCAGTCATTACTGCTGTAAGATTTTTATCAAGGATTTGAAAAGGGAAGTATATGCAGTAAGAGAAACATATTTTAGTTGAGCATCCTAATGCCGTAACTATAGGCAGCTTCATTTTATGAGTACAAATTCAGAAAGATACAACTTGGCCAATGCCCTCAATTTGTTCTGAACCAGGCAAAGAAAAAGACAACTGAAAACGTAGTAGTGTTGCTAACCAAGCAGGTTTCAAAGCAAACTGTGCACTGAAACTTCAAGCATCACCTCTCTCTTTTGAAGTCTTTCTCATACTAGCCAAGTTCTGCTTTCTACCGTAATTCAGCAGCTGAGCAGCGCAGGTGGCTCTCTCACATCAGGCTGATCTACCTCATGAGAAGATCAGAGACCTCTAATTCTATCATCTGTTATTTAAGCAGAGATTTAGGACCAAACTAAGACAGGGAGTAGCTGGAAACATGCCTCAACCCAGCTGCCCTGATCTTGGTTCTTCACACAGCCATTACAGGCACTTCTCATTCCCCCCAGTGCTAAATATCCCATGCAAGAGCTGTAAAAGACATTTGACAGTATCAGACATTAGACAAAGCTCATATTAACATAAAACGGATCAACTGATCAGTTCATCCAGATTTTGCCATCAGCTGTCAGTAAAAATATTCAAAGCAGAAATTTCAGCACTGCATCATTACTGAGGTTTAATATCTTTAATCACAAATCTTCAGGTTTCATACATTTAATCGAGTGACCTACTCAGCACTGCATCCAAAATGGGTTTCCCTTTTAGTCTGATACGATTGAGGCTTATTTAGATGATACTCCCCCCAACTATGGAAAATCATCATTAAAATATTACACCCAAATTAGGACTTGCAGGTATGGCACAGGCTGAGAGGAGACAAAGGAGATCAGCTGCATGGCCAACACATAGCAGTGATCCTAGGGTGGGCCATGGAAAGCAGTTCACCAACCAAGATGATTTCAGCACTTGACAGTGAGTTTAATGATAAGATCCTCTGGTGGCTTGTAAGAGTTGGTAAAAGTTTATACATCTGCAGGATTTCAGATGTATTCATAGATTCAACAGATCATTACTGTGATACATGATAAAAAAGGTCACATTTTGTATAATGAAGTCTTTCATCTTCCCAAATCTACGTAATACAAAATAAAATATCCTCTTCCTACATCCAGTCAGTAATACAGGTGGCTGAAAGACAGACCAGATTGTGAATTATCTGACTTTCACAATAATGGGGAAGAGATGCCAGAATTACTGCAAGAATCTCTAATTCTGAGCGACAAAAATCTCAGTAAACTGTGGCAGAAGCATTTACAAGCAAACTGAAATGCTGTTTTCCTGGTGAAAAGCACCACAGAAACTTCCTGCTAGGTTCTGCACTGATTAAAGTCCTCATCTGCAAGGCACATTTTGTTTCCTCCTTGAAGAAGAAAAAAAATATGTATGATGACTATGTCAGCAGCTGGAAAATGCCGTGTTTCAAGCTCACCGTGTCTTAAGGGTTTCACACTTACCACCTTCTCGCAAGGGCCTTTTGGTTGGTTTAGATCTCGGGACTGCTGATGAGGTGGAGGCACCAGATTCTACTTCCTGCTGTTCACGAAAGCAAAAAGTTATTTGGACTTTAATCACTGCGAGTATCAGCTCATCTAACCACATAAACATAATTGTGACCTGATTAACACAGTTGTTACCTGATTCAGTTTCAGGTTTCCTTTATAGCTTTTTCCTTCTTGCATGCTTTCCCACATCGCTATCTTCTGCCTTCGCTTCTCCTCTTCAAGCTAAGGAACAAATCCAGGATATGCAAGACTAAGATTTCAGAACTAATGGAATCACCAGTGATACAGAAACAGCTACAACAAAACCCAAGGGCTGGGATTAATAAGCAACATTATAGCTATGCTCATTCACATCTGCTTTTCTATGCTACCCCAAATAGCAATATGCTATTCCTCATTTTCTTAAGCTGAAATTCCAACCATTAAATTACAGCAGTGATAACCTACATTCCTAATAACTTCTACTTGCCACTAGGAACAGAAAAAGCATGTCTGCAGCAGTACAGTTAACCTAAACACCAGTAAATCTCCTCCAGACATTTTTTGTGCCTAGTACTAAGTTTCTGTAATCACAAATTTACCTGTAAAAAAATAAAGCTCACGCCTGCAGTGTCCCACAGACACAATTACTTGCAGTGAAGCAAGTGCCATAGGGGTTAATTAATTCAGGAAGGAGCAAAATACTACATGTATCAATCATTCTAATTAACAAAGAGCATCAAGACATCAGGTCAGCACAGCATATAGGGATGTGCTTGTGGAGGTGATACCATGGTGGTACCTACTGCCTGTTGCTGCTCTGTGGATCAAACTGTATCAAAAGCATTCCAGGTAAAGAAGGGGGTAAAAACCCAGCACCCCCATTCCAGCAGAGAGTGAGTCTCCTATCATTCTGGTACCTAGTGTGGAATAAATCTTTCTATCGCAACAGCAAAGCCCTTGATGGCAAACCTATGAATTAAAGAAAGAAACACTCTCCTGTTACCTGTCTCTGTCTTTCTTTGTATCTTTCTGCTTGTGCGTTCAACTCCTCCTGCATCCTGAGGCGAGCTGCTGCCAGAGCTTCCTGCCTTCTCACCACCACGTCAGCATCTAGGAGAGTGGGAAAGAGTTTGCAAAGCTATTCAATACAAATGGTAGATGGTCTCCTCGAAGATTTGTAATAAGGAAAGGTTCACATCTCTCCCTGGAGCTGGTAGCAAAAAAATCACAGCTCAAGTTCAGTTTCTAGCCAATCTTTGATGGTAATTTCTGTGCTGATTTAAATTGCATAACATTTTAATATTTTAGAGCAGTTACTTTAATGGGATTTTAATGAATAAGGACACCTATGTTAACAACCCCATGAAAAACTAAAATTCACACTTCTGGGATACTTGCTTCTATTTCTGAGGATTCGTTTGAGACAACTTGAGCAATAGCACCCAAGCTTTGCAGGGATTCCGTTTTTACCCAGAAGCATGGGGCAACCTGCCCACATCCACTCCTCCTCCTCCTGCCAATTGGTCCAGCTTGTCCCATTACGGCAGCGAAACAGTGGCAGGTTTAACACGCTCCATCAGCAGAGGAATTACTGACAAATAGCACATGTATCTCAAGAGAAAACTGGCAGTCTGACAAAACCTACACTGAGTCACCACTTCCCTTCAGTGGCCTTTAGAAGTCCACATTTGTCTCTTTACATGTTTGCTACCACCCGGTGCTGCACATGTGACAGAAATGTCAGTACTTTCAGTAATTTTAGAGGCAGCTTTGGCAATTAAATATAGATTTAATTGGCATTATGAAAGAGCATCAGGAGGATAAGGGCACTTGAGTACTATATTCTGGGCACATGTACTGCCAAAGGAATTGGTATGAAGCGCTTATTGTTTGGCTGATCCCTAAGTACAGCCTGTGCTTTACAGCAGTGAGTCTCCAAATGAGGCAGGATCATGACTGTGTAAGATTTACAGCCCATGCCACCCTCGGGAAGATAACACGGATGGGAGGCAGTCACACCCCAAATGCACACAGTCCTGCTGGAGCAGGATCTGGCAAGGAATAACTGAAAGGAGAGAGATCATAGACTCACGGAATGGTTTGGGTTGGAAGGGACCTTAAAGCTCATCCAGTTCCAATCTCTTGCCATGGGCAGGGACACCTTCCACTGGAGCAGCTTGCTCCAAGCCCCTGTGTCCAACCTGGCCTTGAGCACTGCCAGGGATGGGGTGGCCAAAACGGTGATGAATTTTGATAAAAAATTAGTATTAGTCAAAAGATTTCTCCCCCACAGTTTAGATTTGGATGTTTTGGGTTTGTTTGGCAAGACTATTGTTCAGTAGCTGACCACAGCTAATTTTAACCACCATTCACTCCTCTCCTGCATAATCAAAGAACAGCTAATCCCTTATTCTGCTCCTTCACCCCCAACCACGTTCCTTCAGGACGCAATCCTTCCCTGACAACCTCTGAAGAAGACACCTCTCGGCCCAATCTCTGCCCAGGGATCAATTCAGTAACACAATCTCTATGTCTTTGTGGGCTTAAATGTTATCCCGAGTATCGACCACCATTAAAACCTCTCCAAACTACACCTACCCGTTATTAACTAAACGCTGGGTGAACAGACCCAGTCAGCTGCCATACACCCCATCACGACTGCGGAGCAAGCCCCCAAAGGAGGCCCCCGCACCGCCCCTACTCACCCATCGCTGCGTCAGCCGCTCCCGCCCGCCCGCTCCACTGGACCGCCAGGCGCTGGGACAGCTTCTGGAAGAGGACATAGACGGCGACAGCGGCCAGGAGGATGTACCAGCCATAGCTGGACAGCAGGGAGCCGGCTGTGAGGGAACAGGCCGCAGGTGAGCGCAGGCCGCGGGGAAGGAGCCCACCCAGCCCGGAGGAGAGAAGCGGGAGGCCGCCCCGGCGGGACCCGCTGCGCTCCCCTCGCCCTCCGGCCCTCACCCGTGTGCTGCAGGAACTCGATCCCCCCCAGCCCCAGCGCACCGGGGCCCGGGCCGCCGCCGCCGTCCCCCCCATCCATCGCGAACCGCCACCTCCAAAGCCGCTGCCTCACGTCCGGGAGCCGCCCCGCTCACCAATCACCGCCCTCCTCGTTCCCCGCCACGTCGGGGTTGGAGAACCAATCACGAAGCAAAGCTTCCGCTCGTTGACCAATGGGAAGGAAAATAAGGGTGAAATCATGGCTATGATGGCCAATGAGGGAAGAGAGGAAGGGAGCTAGGAGCCAATCAGGGTGTGCAGGGAGGGCTCCGCACACACGACACCGCACACGGGGAGCAAACGGAAACGCTCATTTATTGAACGCCGAAACGCGTCAGGACACGGTGCGGGGAAGGGGGGGGGGGAGGCTGAGCCCCCCGCAAGGATAAGCGCCGGACCGCGGCCAGGCGGGGCCTAGGATCCATTGGGAACCGTATCCTCTTCCATTTCCTCCTCAGCGTCCTCCGACGGGCCTGGAAGGGCACGGCACAGAGTTAGGGGGGTTACTGCAAACGTTCCTTTTCTTTCCCACAGGGTAGGGGTACTAACTTCCACCCCCCGAGAGGGGTACTAATAACATGAACCCTTAAAACCAGCCCTGTGCGCAGAATCTACATAGCACTAACACAGCATTGCCAGCCTGTGGTTAAGATTTGTCCATGCAGAACCCTCTGAGACACGCTCCTGTACCCTCATCCGAGGCACAAATGCTCAGTCCAGACAGACTGCAATTAATTTTGTCTGTTAAATCACTGGGACGAACTGCTGGGATTTAGCCAATTCCTCAGGGAAGGTTCAAGGCTGACGTTCAGCACCCTGCTCTCAGGAAGCCCAGCTAACAGCCCAGAGCTGCACTCCACAGGCCAGGCAGACACAGCCCTATGGATGTGGTCCAGTCATTCTGATGATAAACTTACACTCACACAAAAAAAACCCAAAAACACACCAACCCCCCCACAAACACCAAAAACACAAACCCACAACCCAAAAAAACCACAACCCCCCACCAAAAACAAACACCAAACAGTTTAAACAGTTCTTTTCAACTGTCTGGCCTTTCCAACATAACTCCCTCCTGAGCTCACATAAAACACCAGGAAGGAAGAAAAAGAAGTCGATTCTGTTTGGGAAACAGTAATTAAAGTGACCTGATTTGCGTTCTCTGCCGGGAATCTGACCAGCCTGCAGCATGCCCTTCAGCCGCTCCACTTCAGCCAAAGTCGTGGCATTGGCTATAGCAGTCTGAAAAACAGACAAGAGAACCCAATGAATCTCCACACGCAGTGTCAGTCTGTTTAAAAGAAACCTGAGAACAGCGTTTATTCCCCAGTGAAGTGATGCGAAGCTTCTATAGGAAGTTCTACAAAGTTCTAGTTCTAGAAAATTCTGCAAATGACAAAGACCCTACTCAGAATAACTCCACTCTTATTAAATGAGCTGCTTTGGCCTGAGAGAACTCCAAGCTCAGAGAACATTCCATTTAAGTTCTCAAAAAAAACAGGTATATCCTAACAGAAGAAAAATTACAGAAAACTGGCCTAAACCAAAGTTAGGCCACGCTGCTCTGTTTGTGTGAACAGAGGCAGAGGTTTCCAGGAGGAAACCTTTGTTCCATTTGGATCCATGTGTGCTGCCCTGATAGATTTACCTTAATTGCCTCGACGTCCCCTGGGGAGGGCCCACCTTTCTTTTTGTCAAAGTGCAGAGCAGCGCCTGGGATGAAGCTTCCAAGGAAAAATAAAGCCTTGTTACACCTTCTGAAGGGCACGCGCTTCTCTTTACTTCCAAACTAGGTTTGGAAGCGTTTCAGTCAATCAAGTGTAGTATCTTATCTTTGTTAACAAACTGATACAGTGAAGAATCGCCTCCTTCAGAAACACCAGCAGCCTGTCCTCGCTGTCCCATTCCCCCCCACTCCCCCCAAACCTTTTAATCTGCTCTTATAGAGAGGCAGGCCTTAACTTTAGATATCAAGCAGTTGACAAAAGCTATTTGATTTGGATGTTGTTGAACACTCAGGTGGGCTGTTGCCATTTCAAAAGCAGGGTGGATAAATAGTTACTGGAAGTGGGTTTCCTGCTCTCATATGTCTAATATGGCATTACACCAGCCTATAGGAAACACTAGACTGGATGTAATCTTAAGACTCAAAAGAAAAACCTGTTGTATGCAAAACTGGATGTTACTGGCTGATCAGCTGGAAGGAATTCCTCAAGTGCTGACCCAGCCCAGGCTGCAGCGTCTTTTGCAGCTAGAGATTCTCTTTATGTTTATTGAGCTATTTAGTTCAATCATCTACTTGTTCTAAAACTATGCCAGAACAGAACTCATAAACAAGAGCTCGAGTCCATCTATTGTAGTTTTAAATGCTGAATACATTCAAGATATGTTTGATTTAATTGTGGATTTGGAAATGCTGTGGCTATACACGATCCAGATTCTGATTTCCAAACAGGTAAAGAAACAAAACTTGTTGTACCACTTAATTAAACTCATTAAACATGTACTTGTAACAGTTTAATTGCAGACTTTCATCTGCATTTACCCTCCTGACTACAGCAGTTTATATTCCTTGGCAGAAGAAGAAAAATGGAATTACCCATCATCTGGGGGGGGGAAAGGCAAATTAAACAATTGCAAATACTAAATTAACATTTCCTGCTTGTTGACTTACATCAACCCACACTGACCAAATAGATCTTTCAAACATACTTCTGAGACGTATTCACCACCATCCAAAACTCTGGATGCTTGGACAAGGCACTTCTGGCAAGCAAAGCTTTTGAGGCATCCCGCTAGCAGCTGGTGTTTCCGTTTAGTGCCTCACACCACACCCAGAACGTGGTGTTTCTGAAGGAGGATGCCAGTGTAAATTGATTTTTTATCTTACGTTTTTGTTCTCCTGGCAATATCCTTTGCAAGCTGTGCACCCCGTTTGCCCTTGAACATTTTCTCTGCCTCCTGTCGCTCCTACAGCGATACCACACACACAAAGTTAATTTAGGAACACTGCAGTTTGCAAAGCTTCTGTCTTTGCAAAGAAAGACTCTTTGGCTCATCTTCATCAGTCAACATTGGTAGGTGGAGACCAGACGGAAGAACAAGCACATAAACACTGCCCAAACACTCAGCCTAGTAAGAGCTCTTTCCCACACGCATCTTGACTGAGAGCAAAAGAGCAAAGGGCCTCTTTCTCCAGTCTTTCTACCAACACCAGAGGGCCAAAAAAGAATCAGACTAAACAAAGCTAGTAAAACTTCACATCATTAAACAGACTATATACTTAACAGAATGAAACCATGACAGAAAAAGAGCATGTTTTTAGAGCCACTTATGATACATAGTTTCAATTAAATTTACAACTACAGCAAAAAAAGCTTATTGTTACTGCTGAATTTTGAAGCATGCAACAAGAAACAAAAGGCATTCATCTTGTGCTGGAAGCAAAGAAACCAGACTTACTTTGAGTCTCACTTTCTGAAAATCCAGTACTCTGACCTGGGGAACTTTGTGGATGACATATAATCTGTAATGCTTCTTATTTGTTACAGGATTCCTTAAAATGCTACAAAGTCAATAGAGGTTACAAAGAGGTTCTTAATATAACATGTGAAAACACACTGAAACACATTAATATACTTAGAATATATCCATGTACCTTCCACAACACCATTAAATAAGCCTAGTAACAGTGTTCTTTGATATTATGAAAACTTGCACTTTATCAATTAAGTTGATTTTACTGAACATGAAGAACAACCTGAAAAGAGATATACGTACATACATGTACATACATGTACACACACACACATATATAAACCCCAAAACAACCCAAACAAAAGAACCCTAAACCACCACAATTCCTAGCTGGACACTGATGAACCAGAAAAATCCCCAAACAAATTGTTTTTACCTTTGTCCCTCATATCAAATGTGACATTACTGAAAAGTCATTGTTCACATGTATTTTAAAGTATTTTGTAACAACAGTTTTAACCTTCATTTTTTAGGCTTTTAAAGGTTAAGGTTACTTCAGTGCTCACATACTGGTTTATAGAGATGTTACATCTCATTAGTCCAATTGTCTGTCAGTAACAGAAAGCTTCACCCATTAAATACCAGGTATTTCTGAAGTGTAGTGGAAACCTTTACCAATTTAACTTTTAGGCGTAAAGGCTCTGTCACAGCTCATAAAAAGGAGAACATTTCAGAGCAAAGCAAAGAGCCAGGTCAGCTGCAGAGTTCAAACACCAGGGAAAGAGCAGCTTGTCTTTGCAAGATCACATACCTCAGGTACGTCAATGACTTTATAGTTGACAATGGATCCAGTTCACCCTATGTAATGAGAACACAGTAAGAAATCATAAGCCCCTTTAGTGAATGATCAAAATCTGATTTGAAAACAAGGTTCCTGAACTCACATCTATTTTAATGACCAATTACAATTAGTAATTGTTACTAACTAGGATTACTGCAATTAGTTTAACGGGAAATCCACTAAGTCTTTGTGCCTGCTGCTCCACTGCATGCTGCAAATTATGCTCATTACAATATGTACAGCATTAACTACTACCAATACCATACAGCATTACTCTAAAGCAAAAGAGCCAACTACTACCAGAAGTATGTGACAGTACTCTCAGGAAAAAGGTTAATTGGAAAGATGACAAACACAAACTTTAAGCTTGGTTCAATTTATCCCGCACTTACCAGTTCAGCAATGTTGTTGTTGGTGAGAATGAGCTCTGTCAGGCAGGGCAGAGCCTGCTCAAGGTTTTCACCAATGCGACTAAAGAAGAACAAAAACCAAAGGTTTAACTTAGGCCAGAAATGAACAATGGTGAAAAGACATCCAGAAACATGGTAACAAAGAGGATCCCCATGTAAACCAACCCAGTCCAACGCTGGCAGGAGTTTGGGTCAGCATCCACTACAGTATTTTTACTAATAAAGCTGGCAATAAATACAAGCCATTGCTGAAAGAGGGCTAGATGCAATATCAGATTTACATTCACCCACTGCACGTATCCCTGGTTTTGTTTTTA